GGCTTTGCTATTGTACAATCTTTTCTTCCTTCGATGAATGGCTCATTCTCTTCCAGACCCACCGTACGCACTACTGATTTACAAATAACATCTATAGACAATGTAGCGATGCTGCACACCAAGTATCCTGATCCTAGGTAGGACTGAAGAACGGCCTCATCCTTGGCTCCTCCCAGGCCCTGCTGATGCGTTCACTCTGCCGTCGGGGCCCTAAGTCATAGCGGCCTCTATGGCTTAACCCCGAGGATGGGGCGAAACGCATTACGGGGCATTACCTGGGAGGAGCCAAAACTGAGGTCACTCTTCACTCCAACCTAGGATTGGGATACTTGGTGTGCGGCGTCGTTACATTGTCTATATACAACTTGTTTTGTTATGAAACATTGTAAGTTTTATGTTGGGGGGAATCCTTTAAATTGTTTTATAACAAGAATACAGAAATATTTGCTACAAGATACTTGTTGAGTCACTTCTGCGTCACTCTTCACTCCTACCTAGGATTGGGCTACTTGGTGTGCGGCGTCGTTACATTGTCTGTATACAACTTGTTTTTTTATAATACATTGTAACGTTTTATGTTGGGGGGGGGATCCTTTAAATTGTTTTATAACAAGAATACAGAAATATTTGCTACAAGACCCTTGTTGAGTCACCTCTGTGTTGCGTGGTTTTCAAAGGGTCAATGGCGTCCCGCGTGTTTCTCCTTTTTTCTGGTCCCCCCCAAATGCGTAGACTAACGTTTTATGTGGGGGGGGGATCCTTTAAATTGTTTTTAACAAGAATACAGAAATATTTGCTAAGACCCTTGTTGAGTCACTTCTGCGTCACCCTTCACTCCTACCTAGGATTGGGCTACTTGGTGAGCGGCGTCGCTACATCGTCTGTATACAACTTGTTTTGTTATAATACATTGTAACGTTTTATGTATTTATTTTAACAAAACTAGGTGTGGGGGGGGGGGGGGGGGGAGATCCTTTAAATTATTTTATAACAAGAATACAGAGATATTTGCTACAAGACCCTTGTTGAGTCACCTCCGCATTGCGTGGTTTTCGAAGGGTCAATGGCGTCCCACGCGTTTCTCCTTTTTTCTGCCCCCCCCCCCTTAAACGCGTAGACTATTGTGTTGGCTTTGCTATTGTCCAATCTTTTCTTCCTTCGATGAATGGCTCATTCTCTTCCAGACCCACCTTACGAAGTTCTGGAATCCGCGGCTTCGCGCGGCGTCCCCGATTTGACAGGCACAATTATAATCGTCGAGGCGGTAATCTTTTCCAAGCAAAACTCCACGCCGCCGTAACCTTTGCTGATGAATTACAACGCTGCCAGCGCAATAGTACGCGGCCTAATTTCCTAAAACAATAAAAACACCAAGTTTCTCATTCGGAGAGAAATGAAACACGGAGGCGATGTTATTCATGGTGAAAGCGCGGCGCGGGATTGTGTTCCAGGCATTATCTAAGCCATTAAACGCAACCCTGGAAATAAATATCGCCGCTTTTAATTCAATCTGTTTTTGTCTATCAATTCACTGATTGCTTTTGTTTTTCTTTTTTTTTTTTTTTTCGGGTGCCGGGAGAAGAAACCAATGAATACGAATGCAAAAAAAAAAATAATTTTTACACTGCTTTTGTTTTGTTTTTTTTTTTTTTTTTTTTTTTCTTCTCTTCCGCCGAACGCGGCTCGCGGGAGTCGTGCCGATGTGAATGGAATAGGTCAAGTCAAATACCGGCCTGAAGCAAATGTCACTGTTATTACGGGCTGAGTTATACGCTTGTTTTCCTATTATTGCTTATAAATAAATACCCTGTAATAGACATACTTAAATCTGGGCTAAATTACCCGCCGCACGGCGGGAAAATGATTTAACGTGCTGCCGCGGAAGGAGGCGGACTGGTTATTCGGAGGCAGAGGCAAAATGCAGGGTTATTTCTCCGCTAAATGCAATCATTAACCTGCCGGGAGACTAAAGAGCAAATCCACATTAGGGGCTCGTTCACGCCGGCGGGCGCGTGTTGTGTTGTGCGCACGAGTCGGGGCGCGTCGCGACACAATATAAACAATGCAACACAGGTTTACTTTTTTTTCCCCTTTAAAAACTTTATTTAAAGTGGTTGTAAACTCCCCTGACATAGACCCAATGGAGTGACTGGGCTCAGGTAATACACAGAGATGACGCAACAAATCCTCCTACGTAAGTTGTACCTGTTTATCTGCATTCATCTCTTCTCTAAAGAGATTCAAACTTCACAGCTGACACTGCATTTCTGATCTCTACACAGCAGGGAGCGGGGATCTGACATCACACACCACACAGTATAGAGCAGGGAACTGAGGGTAATCTGAGACCTGAGTGGAGGGAATTTCTGACACTGCAATCCTGAGCTCCAGAAGGCAGGGGGCGGGGATCGGATATCACGCACTGCACAGTATAAAGCAGGGGACTGAGTATAATCGGAGACCTGAGTGGAGGGAAGTTCTGACACTGCAGTTTTGAGCTCCAGAAGACAAGGGGGGGGGGGGGTGGGAAGGGGCATCTGCCATTACACACTGCACAGCAAAGAGCAAGGAGCTGAATGCAATCAGATACCTGAGTGGAGGGAATTTCAGGCACTGCAATTCTGAACTCCAGAAGCCAGGGGGCGGAGATCTGATATCACACACACAGCAGAGAGCATAGAGCATGGAGCTGAGTGTAATCTGGGACCTGAGTGGAGGGGATTTCTGACACTAAATTTGAGCTCCAGAAGGTGGAAGGTTAGGGGGCATCTGACATCACACATTGCACAGCATAGATAGAGCAAGGAGCTGAATGTAATCTGAGACCTGAGTGGAGGGAATTTCTGACACTGCAATGCTGAGCTCCAGAAGGCGGGGGGTGGGGCTTTGACATCACACACATCGCAGAGAATAGAGCATGGAGCACAGGGTAATCTGAGACCTATGTGGAGGGGATTTCTGACACAACATTTCTGAGCTCCAGAAGGCAAGGATCTGACATCACACACTACACAACAGGGAGCGGAGTGTAATCTGAGACCTGAGTGGAGGGAATATCTGACACTGCAATTCTGAGTTCCAGAAGGCAGGGTGCAAGGATCTGACATCACGCAATGCACAGCATAGAGCAGGGAGCTTAGTGTAATCTGAGACGTGAATGGGGGGAATTGACCCCCCCTCTCTACATAGTATCATAGGCAAACAAGCACAGCTGAGGTTATCAATCTCAGCCTGTGTGCTTGGGAGAGGGGGGTTCTTTCAATTGAGGCAATTACACACTAGAACAGGGGGTCTGTAAACTTTCTAAACAAAGGGTTGGTGTCACTGGCTTTCTATCATCTGGAACCAGTCTGCCCAATCTCCTCTGACCTGAACAAAGTATTTTCCTCCACAAAACTGCCGCTCACTGGATATTTTCTCTTTTTCGGACCATTCTCTGTAAACCCCAGAGATGGTTGTGCTGGAAAATCCCAATGCTCAATTTGAGCTTCAGCAAGTCGTCTTCACCACGTCTAGATGCCTAAACGCATTGAGTTGTTGCCATGCGATTGGCTGATTAGCAATTTGTGTTACCAAGCAATTGAACAGGTGGACCTACTAAAGTGGCCGGTGAGCACTGGAGGACGACAGGAAGCGCTTAAAAGGAAAAGGTACACTAGCAAAAAAAAAGAAATCATACGTTGAGCATAAACATATGGGGGTAGAAGACTATAAAGAGCAATCCAACATTGGCCATCCCTAGGCACGGAGACTGACTGCATATCACTGGGAGAATATTGGCCGTGGCTGCATGTCAGTAGGGGGTACCCTGCATACTAGGAAAGTAATACGGGGGTCCCCCACTTTTAACCCACCTCTTGGCTGCAGTCATGGGGGCTTTCACAAAGGTATTTACAGTCTCTGGACCAGGATAAAAAAAAAAAGAACAAAAAAAAAACTGCATCAAAAGGAAAAGGCACCGAACATTACTATCTTAATTATATTTGAGCCCATTTTGCCCCATTTGGTAAATGAACTTAAAATGGGTATTGGACAGTTTTATGTGGAATCACAGAAACTGCAAAAATTGATTGCGATATGGTTGATCAGAAGTCTGGCTGATAACATGTCGCAGTTCAATAAAGTTTTTCAGGTAAAAAAAAAAAAAGTTTATGGCTTTCCTTGAAGTGGTTGTAAACCTCAGACATGAAATATGAACATAGCAGATCCCTCTATAGTGTGTATTTGTGTCAGTCCAGAGCACTAAGTGTTATTTCTGTCTGCTGCCTCCTTCCTCTGCTTTCTGCGTGAGTCACTTCTGACAGGTTCCCCTGACACCATAAGGTAAAAAGGTGACAGGGGAGGGAGCTGCAGCACACAGCCTGTGATTGACAGTCTGTGTGAAAGGGGGGGGGTGTCCCTTCCCTCCAATGCTCTCAATGAGCTCTGCAGACTGACTTCAGCTCCCCGCCCCCTGATTTCTGAAAGCTCAGACAAACTTTGAACTGCTGTAGAGAAGATTAGACCATAGATAAACAGGTACAACTTATGTAGGAGGATTTGTTTCATCTCTGTGCATCACCTGTATCAGTGCGAAGAAAGTCCCGTACATTGGCGGTCAGTGGGAAGAATGTCCCTTACATTGGCGGTCAGTGGGAAGAATGTCCCTTACATTGGGGGTCAGTGGGAAGAATGTCCCTTACATTGGGGGTCGGTGGGAAGGAAACTCTTCTTACATTGGTGATCAGCGGGAAGAATGCTCCTTACATTGGTAATCAGCGGGAAGAATGTCCCTTACATTGGTGTCCAGTGGGAAGAATGTCCCTTACACATTGGGGGTCAGTGGGAAGAATGTCCCTTACATTGGGGGTCAGTGGGAAGAATGTCCCTTACATTGGGGGTCAGTGGGAAGAATGTCCCTTACATTGGTGGTCAGTGGGAAGAATGTCCCTTGCATTGGTGTTCAGTGGGAAGAATGTCCCTTGCATTGGTGTTCAGTGGGAAGAATGTCCCTTACATTGGGGGGTCAGTGGGAAGAATGTCCCTTACATTGGGGGTCAGTGGGAAGAATGTCCCTTACATTGGGGATCAGTGGGAAGAATGTCCCTTACATTGGTGGTCAGTGGGAAGAATGTCCCTTACATTGGAGGTCAGTGGGAAGAATGTCCCTTACATTGGGGGTCAGTGGGAAGAATGTCCCTTAAATTGGGGGTCAGTGGGAAGAATGTCCCTTACATTGGTGATCAGTGGGAAGAATGTCCCTTACATTGGTGATCAGTGGGAAGAATGTCCCTTACATTGGTGATCAGTGGGAAGAATGTCCCTTACATTGGTGATCAGTGGGAAGAATGCCCCTTACATTGGGGGTCAGTGGGAAGAATGTCCCTTACATTTGGGGTCAGTGGGAAAAATATCCCTTTCATTGGTGATCAGTGGGAAGAATGTCCCTTGAATTGGGTGTCAGTGGGAAGAAAACTCTTCTTACAGATGGTCAAAAAGATCATTGGTGTCATGCACCTGGCTCTACCTAATGGTGTTGACTCTAGAACTATGAAGGCACCATCAGATGGGGGTAAAACAGCCACAGCTCAAGCAACCTCTGGAGGATCCCTGGGGTTCTATGGAACTCTAGCTGAGAATTGCTGCTAAAAGGCATCACTTGAGTGAGCTTAGAGAGTCTGCTGGGGCCGCTGAAATCACATCCAAGATGGCGGCATCCAGCAACAGTCTCCGGGCTCTGGTATGTCTACACAAGGATGTGGTTGAGGTACAAAACAGTATATAACAAAGCAAACAACTCACGTTAAATGCTCATATAAACGTATGGGAAGATTTTTTAGTAAAATGAATGGTGTGGTGTCAGGATCCTTTTAAAAGCAGATTTCTGATTTCTCAATTTTCTGCTTTAAACCTTCAGCTTCACACAAAGAAAAATTTACAAAGCCGCTCGGCTCGGCTCCAGCCACTTTCCTCCACGACCAGCTCCGCATCCAGAAGATTCACGTCTTATTCTTGATACTTTTACTTTTGATATAAAAGATACCGCTTCAACTTTATCTTCCATTTTAAAAATATGACGCTCCATCCGCGCCAATAAATCTATCTCACAAAACTTTATCGGCTTCATATTTCCCGTTTTGGGGCTTTGAACACATGAAAATGGTTAAAGCGAGACCATAAAAAAGTGGAAATAGAACGTCTTCACTTGTCAGGAGAAATGAGCACTAAGATGATACAACCAACGTCAGAGGCAGAAGGTAGATGGATCCGATTATTACTCGATTCCAGCTATTCTGACATTGGAAAAATACTTGTTTGCTGCTAAATATTACTCGCATACCAGCTTGGATTACCCATAGAAGGACCAGGAGCAAATGTAGATCGGCAGCTTTGCAGAGTTCGGCTCTGTTCTGATTTCAACTCCACTCCAGAGTTTACTTTTTTTAGCTATGTTCCAGAGTCCACTTTCTGATTCCAGCTACACACCCCCCCCCCCCCCTCTTTGAGTCCAGTTTCATTCCGAATTTATCAAAGCTCCGGAGTCCAGGTTCTTTCAAATTTCAGCGCTGAACCAGAGTCCAGGTTTCCCATTTCATCTACACTCCAGATTTTAGCTTCATTCCAATTCCAGACAAGCTCCAAAGTCCAGCGTCTTTCTGAAGTCAACTCTGCTTCAGGGTCCGGCTTCTTTCCAATTTCAGCCCCGCTCTAGAATCCAGCTTCTTTTCCAATTTCAGCCCCGCTCTAGAATCCAGCTTCTTTTCCAATTTCAGCCCCGCTCCAGTGTCCAGCTTTTTTTTCCAATTTCAGCCCGGCTCCAGAATCCAGCTCCTTTTCCAATTTCAGCCCCGCTCCAGAATCCAGCTTCTTTTCCAATTTCAGCCCCGCTCTAGAATCCAGCTTCTTTTCCAATTTCAGCCCATTTCATTGTCCAGCGTCTTTTCCTATTTCAGCCCCACTCCAGAATCCAGCTTCTTTTCCAATTTCAGCCCCGCTCTAGAATCCAGCTTCTTTTCCAATTTCAGCCTCACTCCAGAATCCAGCTCCTTTTCCAATTTCAGCCCCGCTCTAGAATCCAGCTTCTTTTCCAATTTCAGCCCCACTCCAGAATCCAGCTTCTTTTAAATTTCAGCCCCACTCCAGAATCCAGCTCCTTTTCCAATTTCAGCCCCGCTCCAGTGTCCAGCTTTTTTTCCAATTTCAGCCCCGCTCCAGAATCCAGCTCCTTTTCCAATTTCAGCCCCGCTCCAGTGTCCAGCTTTTTTTCCAATTTCAGCCCCGCTCTAGAATCCAGCTTCTTTTCCAATTTCAGCCCCGCTCTAGAATCCAGCTTCTTTTCCAATTTCAGCCCCGCTCCAGAATCCAGCTTCTTTTCCAATTTCAGCCCCGCTCCAGTGTCCAGCTTCTTTTCCAATTTCAGCTCCGCTCCATTGTCCAGCTTCTTTTCCTATCTCAGCCTAGCGCCAGTGTCTAGCTTCTTTTCCGATTTCAGCCTCGCTCTAGTGTGAAGCCTTTTTTCCAATTTTTTCCAGCTTCAGCTCCACTCAGATTTGAACTCCATTCCAGAATTCAGCTCCATTCCAATTTCAACTCCAGTCCATAGCTCATAAGACAGAAAGTGCAGCTAAAATCAATAAATTCAATATGTAAACAATAAAACACACAACTGCGATATGGTGAAAGCAGTATGAAACCAGGACGTATATACCACTACCAGCAAATAAGTGTATAATAAAAGGTGACAACCCAAGGTGAAGGGATGACAAACAATTAAATGGTTACACCAATAAACATGATCTATAAAGGAAAAAACGTCCAAATAAAGTGCGAAAGTTATTATGTATCCCAAATGAGGGACTATATACCAAAAAAATGGTAACAATATCAGTAGTTCCAAATGGTTATATCCAGATGAGTAACTTTACGATCCTAGTGTGAACAGATAATGCTCCGGTGACATGCGATAAATAGTAAGATTGCACACTCACCAGAAGCGCAATCTTAAGGCAATCTTAATTTGTCATGTAAATCAGCCAGAGGTCTCCTCTTTAGTAGGGTAGAATACAGCCTGGTGTAGGAATCGCCTCCTCTGTGGATCTGGGCGTTTAGACGTCAGAGGTCCCCTTTGGGGTCTAGTTACAAAACTCCCTCCTCTGGTCTGGGAAGAACACCTGGGGTCCTAGGGGGGTTTAAATGTTCATGCTGCAGGTGTTCAGCGATGGCTCCAAGACCGGGAACTGAGAGATCACATGACCACCGATCAGTCTTTCTTGCTGCAGTCCTGTTTCTGATCCCTTCTCATGTTTGTCTGTGCTCTTCTATCCATAGCTCAGTTTCACTGTGTTTTCAGCTTCACTCCAGAGTCCAGCTCCTTTCAAAATCCCCATCTCTATTCTGTTTTAATCTCCACTCCATAGTTCAGTTTCCCTATGACCAGTCCCATTCTGAGCTCATTTCTGCTAGAGATTTCAGCTCCGTTCTAGGTAAGTAAAGGCATCTTTTGTTTTACAGGATAGATAGAAAAGGCTCAGGGTGGTCCCATGGGGGGTGGGTGCAGGTTAAGGTTTGATAGGTTTTGGCTCGCCTTCCACTTTAACTTGTTCAATAGGATTACTGAACTTATCTCAGTTATCTTTAGACAAAAACTGGCAACAGTCTTCAAATTGTATCTGTCAGATGTAGAACTCCATGTGTAGGACCAGGGGCGGACTGACCATTCGAGCACTCGGGCACTGCCCGAGGGCCTGGGGTCACTGGGGGGCCCCATGAAATGCCCCTGGTACCTTTCTATAGGCTTTTTTGGCTGTGCTTTAACCTCCCTGGCGGTATGATTATTTCAGATTTTTGGTGCTGAAAGCGGTACCAGTTTTTTTGCATGGAAATATGTATTTTTTTTATTGCAGGCCTGTAATTCTTAGGAATAACTCACTGAAATCTGTCCGAACAAGAGTCTAGTAAACATCCCGGGTAGGATAAAATTTGAAACACAAAATCATAAATTATAATTTAATAAAGAATCATAAAAAATAATAATACATTTAATTCAATAATATAATCAAACCAAAAACACTGAAATGTGAAATATAGCGCCAAGTTCGCACATCGCTGAGCAAAGTCGCAGAATCGTTTTCAGTGTCTGATGAGGAATTTCCCCCCACCAATCATTATCACTCAATTCTGCAAGTGGTTCTGATTTACTATCGCTGTTCTCTAGCCGGTCTAAAACCGCGTCTGACCTAAAGGGACGCTTTTTGGACGCCATGGACGTTTCTCAGTTTCCAGGCTGAAAGAACGGTAAAAATGCAGGCAGGGCGCCGGACAAAGCACTCGAGACAAAATGTATGTGAAATGGGTTGAAACAGCAATGTTTTACTATGTAAAATTGTTTTGAAAAAAAATGAAATTTTTTTAAAATTTTTAAATTTTCAAATTTCCCGCCGCCGCCGCCGGCGGCCGTACGACCCGACGTCACAGGGACTGGAACACAGGAGCCGAATGCCGGCATCAGCTGGAGGAGATGGCTGGGGACGCTGCAGGGGACACATCGCGGGAGCGAAGGACAAGGTAAGTGCTGCAGGGAATCCCTATGCAGCGCCGCATGGTAAGCCCGAGTGTAGCCCGGGGGGGTTACCGCTTTTGGTACAGACATTTTACCCCGAGCTACACTCGGGAATACCGCTAGGGAGGTTAAGTGTGGGCAAGGACACAGGGGCCCCATGATCCCCTATTGCCCAGAGGCCCATGAATTGTCAGTCTGCCCCTGTGTAGGATACACATTCAGAAAAAAAGAAATCTAGTCCCATTGTATCCAAAAAGGTAGACCCTCATAATATACATTTCATGTCTCTGGCAGCTCTTCTTTATATTTCATAAGTCAGGAGAAGATGATTTCCCACCAGCAGTCCAGCGTGAGGACCAACCTGGATAAAAGTAGAGCTGATTGTCATTGTGTCAGGAACATCAGACGCCTGAGAGATCGTGCCAGACGTAAGGCTCACAAAAGTACGTGTTTTCAGGCATGGGAGCCTAAACAAGCTCGGCCTCAGAGACTCCGCCCTCTCCTGGCTCTCATCCTACCTGTCACAACGCTCCTTCAGCGTTACCTATAATGCTACCACCTCCCCCTCTCTCCCCCTCTCTGTTGGGGTCCCTCAAGGCTCTGTCCTCGGGCCCCTTCTCTTCTCCATCTACACCTCCTCCCTTGGCCAACTCATACACTCTCACGGCTTCAACTACCACCTCTATGCCGACGACACACAAATCTATCTCTCAACCCCCCACCTCACCCCCTCAGTCTCCGCCCGAATCACACACCTACTGAGCGACATATCAGATTGGATGTCGCTCCACTTCCTTAAACTGAACCTCTCCAAAACTGAGTTTCTTGTCTTGCCCCCAGCCCGGACACCACCCCCCATTGACTTCTCCATCACATCCAACAACGCCACCATCAAACCCTCCCCGCAGGCCAGAGTACTTGGTGTCATTCTGGACTCCAACCTATCCTTCCAGCCCCAAGTCCAATCTTTAACAAACTCGTGTAGACTCCACCTCCGCAACATGCAGACTCCACCTCCGCAACATGCAGACTCCACCTCCGCAACATGCAGACTCCACCTCCGCAACATGCAGACTCCACCTCCGCAACATCGCCAAAATCCGCACGTTCCTAACCCCAGAAACCACTAAAAAGCTCATCCACTCCCTCATCATATCACGACTCGACTACTGCAACTCCCTCCTCACTGGCCTGCCTCGCCGCTGGCTATCCCCGCTTCAGTCATTCCTGAATACGGCAGCCAGACTCATTCACCTTTCCAACAGCTCCATCTCCGCCACCCCCCTCTGCCAATCCCTCCACTGGCCTCCACTCAGTGTCCTCCACCCCTCTCTGCCAATCCCTCCACTGGCCTCCACTCAGTGTCCTCCACCCCCCTCTGCCAATCCCTCCACTGGCATCCACTCAGTGTCCTCCACCCCCCTCTGCCAATCCCTCCACTGACCTCCACTCAGTGTCCTCCACCCCCCTCTGCCAATCCCTCCACTGGCATCCACTCAGTGTCCTCCACCCCTCTCTGCCAATCCCTCCACTGGCCTCCACTCAGTGTCCTCCACCCCCCTCTGCCAATCCCTCCACTGGCTTCCGATTGCGCAACGGATCAAATTCAAAATCCTAACATTGACGTACAAAGCCGTCCACCATACTGCCCCGAACTACATCAACGACCTAATATCCAAGTACCGCCCAACACGCACACTCCACTCCTCACAAGACCTCCTTCTCTCTAGTTCCCTGGTCTCCTCCTCCCACGCCCGCCTCCAGGACTTCTCCAGGGTGTCACCCATCAGATTATCACCTACTCTCCTCTCCTTTAGGCGCACCCTGAAAACCCATCTCTTCAGGGAAGCCTACCCCACCCCCTGCTAACTTGCCAACCTCCTCCACTCTTCCTACCACTCCATCCCCCACAGCTATCTCCTCCTGTACCACTATTCCCTCCTAGATTGTAAGCTTCAAAGAGCAGGGCCCTCGATCCCCTCATGTTTTGCATTGTATTGGTATTGTTCTGTCACATGTTCTGTCCCCCTTTGTAATGTACAGCGCTGAGCCAACTATTGGCGCTTTATAAATACTGTATAATAATAATAATAATATAAAATGTGGACAGAATGGCGTACACATGGACATAAGGGCAGGTCCACCACAGATGCCCAATGGCCTATTTAAATCTGGGCCCTGCAGGAGATCGTTGGATGATCTTTCAGCTTGTGTCTCCGTTATCCTTGATCCTGATTCAGCCTGGCCCGGTTATTGGCCCGGATTTCATGTGACCTGCCTCTGGATTACTCTGACCTGTTTATGTCTGCTGCCTATCTAGATAACCAACCTCAGCCTGGACTCTTGGCCAAGATTATGCCTATCAATTCGGCACCTCGTTGCCTGTACTTTGCCAACCTCTGATCATCTCTGGCCTTAATCCTGTCTGTTACAGAACTTGGCTTGTGACCAGGGGCGGACTGACAACTCATGGGCCCCCGGGCAATAGGGGATCATGGGGCCCCTGTGTCCTTGCCCACACCCAAAAAAGCCTATGAAAAAGCCAATGAAAGGTACCAGGGGCATCTCATGGGGCCCCTTACTGACCCCGGGCACTTGGGCAGTGCCCAAGCGCTCGAATGGTCAGTCCGCCCCTGCTTGTGACCAGACTCTGCTCTTTACTGGTCTGTATAAGGTTCCCAAGCCTGTGGTTCCATCCTCTTGGCACTTGCACCCTTCCATCGCCCTAGCAGTCCCTATCTCAACTTTCAGGGATGCATGTATGGGAATTATGCAAGAGGCCACCCCCAGTGGCAGAGATACCAAGGTTGCAAAGGTCTCACTTGAGACCGGGCCCTGGTGTTCTGCCACTGTCGGGAGACCGTTGCACATGAGCTCAGTTAACACTGCTGCTACCCCAAAGTTATGCAACTTGCTTGCGATTTCCTTGCACCTTGCTGGCGACTTTTTCAATTTAATAGAACTTGAATCGCACCAAAGTCTCAGAAAAGTAAAGCGGTTCAGCGACTAGAGTAAAGGTCACCGGGATCAGTGGGAAGGGTCCTGGGCTTGGAGGGAAGGGCCATGGGGCTGATGAATAGGGCTCTGGGTCCGCAGAGAAGGGCCTCGGGACCTTTAGAAAGTACCACAGAACCATTGGAAAGTGCCATGGAACCGATGAAAAGGGCCCCTAGAAACATTGGGAAGGGCTCCTGGGACCTTAGAAATAGGCCAGGAAACTGAAGAAAATGGCCTCGGAACCTTTAAGAAAGGGCCATGGAACCGATGGAAAGGACCCCGGGGCTGTTGGAAAGGGCCACGGAACTGTTGGAAAGGGCCACGGAACTGTTGGAAAGGGCCACAGAGCAAATGGAAAGGGCCACAGAACTGTTGGAAAGGGCCACAGAACTGTTGGAAAGGGCCACAGAACTGTTGGAAAGGGCCACAGAGCAAATGGAAAGGGCCACAGAACTGTTGGAAAGGGCCACAGAACTGTTGGAAAGGGCCACAGAGCAAATGGAAAGGGCCACAGAACTGTTGGAAAGGGCCACAGAACTGTTGGAAAGGGCCACAGAGCAAATGAAAAGGGCCACAGAGCAAATGGAAAGGGCCACAGAGCAAATGGAAAGGGCCACAGAGCAAATGGAAAGGGCCACAGAGCAAATGGAAAGGGCCACACACAGAACTGTTGGAAAGGGCCACAGAACCAATGGAAATGGCCAGGAGACCTTTGGAAAGAGCCATAAGACGTTTGGAAAGAGCCCTGGGGCCAATGGGAAGGACCTTGGGGTCTTTTTGAAGAGCCCTAGAGCCACTGGAAAAGATCCCAAAACTGCTGGAAAGGGCCCTGGCGGTAAAGGGTGCCCTTCATGGTTTCTAGTTACGCCTCTGGCCTCCCTCATCATCTCAAAGCCGCTCATAAAGGGTACGTGGCACATTGGTTAGACTCTGTTGACTATAAATGTTATTAATTGCCTGCAGACTAAGCTGTAATTCAGCTCCTCCGCCCTCCCCTAAGCGGGCGATAAGATCTACCCCACGACCCGTCAATCAGCGAGACCCGAGGTATCATCGTTCCGTTCCGAATCAGAATTTTAAAACCATTTTTACACTTCCCGGGAACATCATCTGCTCAGATTACTTCTCTGGACGATGACGGCCATTGCGAGAGGCAGCCTAAGCGCTCGAGCCTTGAAAGCCACAAAATCAATATAAATGGATTGACTGATGCTTCGCAAAAAAAAAAAAGAAAGCGAGATAGAAGAAAAATGAGCGCCTTAATGCAAGCCATATATTTAAAGCAAAGCACCAATGAATGCATTTAGATCCAGCTGCAGCCCCAACATTAAAAAGGATTACCTCTTTCGGACGGGCTCTATAAATACTCCGTGGCACATACGGCGCGGCTCGATAGGACGCGGCCGCAGCTGGGAGCCTCTTTGCATAATAGATTAATACAGCGGAGTCTTGTAAAATGGAAATAGAGGATTCTTTACAAGGCCTGCTGCTTAGCTCGACATTTCTGGAACAAAACAAAGGTCACCTTGCAATAGTCACATCGCCTTGAATTGTTTTTTTACCACCCTGGCTCCGGGCCAAGCGGCTAATATACCGAGACAACAAACAGCAGATGCAATCCGAAGGCTTTTTTTTTTTTTTTTTTTTTTTTTTTTTTTTTTTTAGGAGGAAAGTACAAATTAAAAACACCAAAAGGAGGAACGGTGTCAGGATACTTTACAAGATACTTTAGGCTGGACTTACCCGGTGATCTCCACTTAAAAGGAAGAGAGCGAATTTTTTATAAAGCGCGGTCTTTACCCTTCAGCTAAACGCATTCCAGGTGCATCAAAACAACTGTCTGGTTTTTTTTTTTTTTAAATTGAAAGCAGCCACAACCTGATTAGAAAAGCCTGTACCTTGCCAGCAGGATGCAGAAAAAGAGCCGTGGTCCCTGTGTGGGAGCAGTGGCCTCTCTGCAGAGGTCAGGCGTTCCCTCAGCTGAGTCGGGGGTGGGGTTCCAGCAAAATACGCCGATTGGAAAAGTCTAACTCTGACTTAGTCCATCTAGAGCCTCTGGTTTATAGGCCGGATACGTCCTAAATATAGAGCCA